CAGCCGGGCTGTGGTTCATACGTTGGTTTACATGCGGCCAGCAGTAACAGCCTGATTGATCAGGCCCTGATCTACCACGAGGTATATCAGGGCCTGATCACAGCCTCTCCCTCACCCTCACAGCCTCTCCCTCACCCTTAAAAAGCCTCTTTTCTCCCCAATTATCCACCACGTGCCTATTCTCGTACCACGTGCTTGGATAGACCGATAATGAGTGGTAGGATAGACAGGGGCGGTGGATGGGTGGCAGGATAGGGGGTGGGTAGGGTGGATGGATGGGTAACAGGACGAGCACAGAATTACAGCATCAATTAATTGACTACCTGTGGGTAATTAAGCTGCGGTAATGAACCATGGTTGATGACCATGGTTGATGACCATGGTTGATGATCATGGTTGTTGACCATGGTTGATTACCATGGTTGATGACCATGGTTGATGACCATGGTTGATGATCATGGTTGATGACCATGGTTGATGACCATGGTTGATGATCATGGTTGTTGACCATGGTTGATGACCAATGGTTTATGATCAGGGTTTATGACCATGGTTGATGATCATGGTTGTTGACCCCTGGTTGATGACCATGGTTGATGACCCTGGTTGATGATCATGGTTGTTGACCATGGTTGATGACCATGGTTGATGACCATAGTTGATGACCATGGTTGATGATCATGGTTGTTGACCATGGTTGATGACCATGGTTGATGACCATGGTTGATGATCATGGTTGATGACCATGGTTGAAGCCCTGGTTGATGACCATGGGTTTTATGATCATGGTTGTTGACCATGGTTGATGACCATGTTGATGACCAGGATTGATGACCATGGTTGATGACCATGTTGATGACCAGGATTGATGACCATGGTTGATGACCATGTTGATGACCAGGATTGATGACCATGGTTGATGACCATGACTGATGACCATGTTGATGACCATGGTTGATGACCATGGTTGATGACCATGGTTGATGACCATGACTGATGACCATGTTGATGACCATGGTTGATGACCATGATTGATGACCATGTTGTTGACCATGATTTATGACCATGATTGATGACCATGATTGATGACCATGGTTGATGACCATGATTGATGACCATGGTTGATGATCATGGTTGATGACCATGATGACCATGTTGTTGATCATGATTGATGACCATGGTTGATGACCATGATTGATGACCATGGTTGATGACCATGGTTGATGACCATGTTGTTGACCATGGTTGATGACCATGATTGAAGACCATGGTTGATGACCATGATTGATGACCATGTTGTTGACCATGGTTGATGACCATGATTGATGACCATGGTTGATGACCATGGTTGATGACCATGGTTGATGACCATGATTGATGACCATGGGGTTTATGACAGGTTTTGACCATGTTGATGACCATGGTGATGACCATGGTTGTTGACCATGGTGAATGACCATAAATTTATGACCATGGTTGATGACCATGGTTGATGACCATGTTGTTGACCATGATTGATGACCATGTTGTTGACCATGGTTGATGACCATGGTTGATGACCATGGTTGATGACCATGTTGTTGACCATGATTGATGACCATGGTTGATGACCATGGTTGATGACCATGTTGTTGACCATGATTGATGACTATGTTGATGACCATGATTGATGACCATGGTTGATGGACCCTGGTTGATGACCATGGGTTTATGAACATGGTTAATGACCAAAGTTGTTGACCATGATGTTGACCATGGTTTATGACCATGGTTTGACCATGGGGTTTATGACCCCTGGGTTTATGACCATGATTGATGACCATGGTTGATGACCATGGTTGATGACCATGGTTGATGACCATGTTGTTGACCATGATTGTTGACCATGGTTGATGACCATGGTTGATGACCACGGTTGATGACCAAAGGTTTTATGACCATGTTTGGGCCAGGTTGATGGGCCATGGTTGAAAGACCATGTTGATGACCACGGTTGATGACCATGGTTGATGACCATGGTTGATGACCACGGTTGATGACCATGGTTGATGACCACGGTTGATGACCATGGTTGATGACCATGGTTGATGACCATGGTTGATGATCATGGGGTAGGCCTCTTCTGCCCATACCCATGGTGTATATATATATATATATATATATATATATATATATATATATATTATATATATATATATATATATTTAATATAATATATAATATATATATATATATATATATATATATATATATATATATATATATATATATATATATATATATATATATATATATATATATATATATATATATTAAGAGGGTATATCCCAGTGTATATACACTGAGCCTTGTGTATTTCTCAGTATATACGCAGTGGGAGGAGCTAGAGCAGTGGGAGGAGCTACAGCAGTAGTAGCTAGAGCAATGGGAGGAGCTAGAGTACTGGGAGGAGCTAGAGCAGTGGGAGGAGTTAGAGCAGTGGGAGGAGCTAGAGCAGTGGGAGGAGTTAGAGCAGTGGGAGGAGCTAAAGCAGTGGGAGGAGTTAGAGCAGTGGGAGAAGCTAGAGCAGCGGGAGGAGCTATAGCAGTGGGAGGAGTTAGAGCAGTGGGAGGAGCTAGAGCAGTGGGAGGAGTTAGAGCAGTGGGAGGAGTTAGAGCAGTGGGAGGAGCTAGAACAGTGGAAGGAGTTAGAGCAGTGGGAGGAGCTAGAGCAGTGGGAGGAGTTAGAGCAGTGGGAGGAGCTAGAGCAGTGAGAGGAACTAGAGCAGTGGGAGGAGTTAGAGCAGTGAGAGGAGCTAGAACAGTTATAGTAGCTAGAGCAGTGGGAGGAGTTAGAGTACTGGTAGGAGCTAGAGCAGTGGGAGGAGTTAGAGTACTGGTAGGAGCTAGAGCAGTGGGAGGAGCTAGAGCAGTGGGAGGAGTTAGAGCAGTGGGAGGAGCTAGAGCAGTGGGAGGAGCTAGAGCAGTGGGAGGAGTTAGAGCAGTGGGAGGAGCTAGAGCAGTGGGAGGAGTTAGAGCAGTAGTCGTAGCTAGAGCAGTGGGAGGAGCTAGAGTACTGGGAGGAGCTAGAGCAGTAGTAGTAGCTAGAGCAGTGGGAGGAGCTAGAGTACTGGGAGGAGCTAGAGCAGTGGTAGGAGTTAGAGCAGTGGGAGGAGCTAGAACAGTGGGAGGAACTAGAGCTGGGGGAGGAGCTAGAGCAATAGGATGAGCTAGAGCAGTGACAGGAGTTAGAGCAGTTGGAGGAGCTAGAGCAGTAGTAGTAGCTAGAGCAGTGGGAGGAGCTAGAGTGCAGGAAGGAGCTAGAGTACTGGGAGGAGCTAGAGTACACGAAGGAGCTTGAGTACTGGATGGAGCTAGAGCAGTGGGAGGAGCTAGAACAGTGGGAGGAGCTAGAACAGTGGGAGGAGCTAGAACAGGGAAGGGGGCGGAGTCTATAGAGGAGCGAAGCTGTGAGTGGCTGAGCCACAGTAATGATATTGACACAGTAATATATTAGAGCAGTGAGCTCCGGCAGCCAACCTCTGCTATATTGACCCAGCTCTCTGCTCTACGCTCTCTCTCTGTTAATAAGTAAACTAAATACACCTAGAGAAAGCTATTACTGTATTTATATACGAAAATTAGACGTAACGGAATGAAATGTAACGAAACATTATTGATTCCGTTTAAGCTGTCCCTTAAAGGCGAGGCATTGCTGATACAGTGGCATGTATTTACTGCCTTGAGACTTATTTTTACAAGGTGATCGTAATCTTCGTTACTCTCCACCATTGTTTGTGCGTTATCTGGATGTTAACACTTTACGACAGACTTTTAACCCCTCAGCTCCGCCCACAACAATAATGTTGTGGTGGATGTAGCCTATAGCAGAGCTCAGATCCGTTACGTCACACATTAGCTCCTCCCACCTCACTCTCCGCAAGTAGCAGAGCTTTGACTCAGTGACGTCACATATTAGCTCCGCCTACATCCAGTGACTTTACAACTAAACCCCTCCCATTAAACCTCTCCCATAATGATCAAATGAGAATAATATGCAAAGTTCACACCCACATTAACTCTTCTCCAAGTAAACTCTCCCGAGATAAACTCTACTCCACGAAGAGTTGTAAATTTTATACAAGTATAGAGAAGAATTTGGCAACACCATAGGCCCCGCCCCTTACGGAGGCCCCGCCCCTTATGGAGGTCCCGCCCCCTGTGTTTACCTGGTCACATGTTGGAGGTGGTCACGTGAAGATCACTCCTCTCACACGCCCTTTCACCTGCTGAAAGGCAGCATCCACGCCCGCACCCACGCCCACACCCACGCACGTAGCCACGCACGTAACCACGCCCGCAAACACGCATGTCCACGCACGTACCCACGCTTATATAACAATTAACATGTGCAAAACGCGTTTTAAGTGAGTTTGTTTTGTATTAGTGTAGGTTAATGAGGTATCGACCTGCCCCAGGAACTACGAGTCGACCTGCCCCAGGAACTACGAGTCGACCTGCCCCAGGAACTACTTGTCGACCTGCCCCAAGAACTACGAGTCGACCTGCCCCAGAAACTACTTGTCGACCTGCACCAGGAACTACTTGTCGACCTACCCCAGGAACTACCTGACGATCTGCCCCAGGAACTAGTCGACCTACCCCAAGAACTAGTCAACCTACCCCAGGAACTAGTCGACCTGCCTCAGGAACTACTTATCGACCTACCCCAGGAGGTACCTGTCGACCTACCCCAGGAACTAGTCGACCTGCCCAAGAACTAGTCGGTCAACCCCAGAAACTAGTCAACCTGCCCCAGAAATTACTTGTCGACCTGCTCCAGGAATCACTTGTCGACCTGCCCCAGGAACTACCTGTAGACCTGCCCCAGGAAGTACCTGTTGACCTATCCCAGGAGCTAAACGACCTGTCTTAGGAATAAGTAAACCTGCCTCAGGAACTACTTGTCGACCTGCCCCAAGAACTACGTGTCGACCTACCCCAGGAACTTGTCGACCAACAATGTACGACCAGTGTACCAGACCCGGGTCTCCCAGACCCAAAATAGAGCCTAGATCGGCCCCTTCTAGTCCTATAGTAGACCGCAAAACACCGAATAATCAGTCCCCGACGCCGACACGTCGGTCCCCGACGCCCAAGTCCTCAACGCCGAGTCCCCTGGATCTCAGTCACCGCTTGGAAGCAAGGGATTGCGTCTCCAAGCGGTTACAAACCCCCGGGGTGACATTATTTCCCGGTCTGACGATAACACCAGGAAATAGCGAAAGATCTGAGGGTGACCACGAGGAAGAATCACCGCCCACTCCCTCACCCACCCCCACGCCCTCACCCACGCCCTCACCTCCAGAAACCTCCTTCCCCAGGTTTCACTTCAGCAGGGGAACCACACAAGCGGTAAACCCGGAGGGGAAGCCTAAGGCCGCCCATGATGATGCTGCTGCTTCCCCGCCCACACACGCCCACCCACGCCCTCTGGACACCGTGGGCGTGGAATCCTGGTGGTATCCGGGGATCGTTGGCGGGGATATATTCCGTGGGTTACAAGATCTGCCACTGGCCTTCCCAGGCCTACCAGCCTTCCGTAAGTAGGCCTATAATAATAATAATAATAATAATAATAATAATAATAATAATAATAATAATAATAAAAATAATAATAATAATAATTAATAATAAGTAATAATAATAGTAATAATAATAATAATAATAATAAAAATAATAATAATAATAATAATAATAAGTAATAATAATAATAAGTAATAATAATAATAATAATAATAATAATATTACATAAATTGTTATATTATTAAGAAGGGTTAACTACCGTTTTTATGTTGCAAACAGACCCGTTGTTCTGTTGTGACTAGTTGCTGTTGTTCTGTTGTAACTCTACTTGCCGTTGTTCTGTTGTAACTCTAGTTGCTGTTGTTCTGTTGTAACTCTAGTTGCCGTTGTTGTTGTAACTAGTTGCTGTTGTTCTGTTGTAACTCGAGTTGCCGTTGTTCTGTTGTAACTCTAGTTGCCGTTGTTGTTGTAACTAGTTGCTGTTGTTCTGTTGTAACTCTACTTGCCGTTGTTCTGTTGTAACTCTAGTTGCCGTTGTTCTGTTGTAACTCTAGTTGCCGTTGTTGTTGTAACTAGTTGCTGTTGTTCTGTTGTAACTCGAGTTGCCGTTGTTCTGTTGTAACTAGTTGCTGTTGTTCTGTTGTAACTCTACTTGCCGTTGTTCTGTTGAAACTCTAGTTGCTGTTGTTCTGTTGTAACTAGTTGCTGTTGTTCTGTTGTAACTCTAGTTGCCGTTGTTCTGTTGTAACTCTAGTTGCCGTTCTTCTGTTGAACTAGTTGCTGTTGTTCTGTTGTAACTCTACTTGCCGTTGTTCTGTTGTAACTCTAGTTACCGTTGTTCTGTTGAACTAGTTGCTGTTGTTCTGTTGTAACTCTACTTGCCGTTGTTCTGTTGTAACTCTAGTTGCTGTTGTTCTGTTGTAACTCTAGTTGCCGTTGTTGTTGTAACTAGTTGCTGTTGTTCTGTTGTAACTCGAGTTGCCGTTGTTCTGTTGTAACTAGTTGCTGTTGTTCTGTTGTAACTCTACTTGCCGTTGTTCTGTTGAAACTCTAGTTGCTGTTGTTCTGTTGTAACTAGTTGCTGTTGTTCTGTTGTAACTCTAGTTGCCGTTGTTCTGTTGTAACTCTAGTTGCCGTTCTTCTGTTGAACTAGTTGCTGTTGTTCTGTTGTAACTCTACTTGCCGTTGTTCTGTTGTAACTCTAGTTGCCGTTGTTCTGTTGAACTAGTTGCTGTTGTTCTGTTGTAACTCTACTTGCCGTTGTTCTGTTGTAACTCTAGTTGCTGTTGTTCTGTTGTAACTCTAGTTGCCGTTGTTGTTGTAACTAGTTGCTGTTGTTCTGTTGTAACTCGAGTTGCCGTTGTTCTGTTGTAACTAGTTGCTGTTGTTCTGTTGTAACTCTACTTGCCGTTGTTCTGTTGAAACTCTAGTTGCTGTTGTTCTGTTGTAACTAGTTGCTGTTGTTCTGTTGTAACTCTAGTTGCCGTTGTTCTGTTGTAACTCTAGTTGCCGTTGTTCTGTTGAACTAGTTGCTGTTGTTCTGTTGTAACTCTACTTGCCGTTGTTCTGTTGTAACTCTAGCTGCCGTTGTTCTGTTGAACTAGTTGCTGTTGTTCTGTTGTAACTCTACTTGCCGTTGTTCTGTTGTAAATCTAGTTGCCGTTGTTCTGTTGTAACTCTACTTGCCGTTGTTCTGTTGTAAATCTAGTTGCCGTTGTTCTGTTGTAACTCTACTTGCAGTTGTTCTGTTGTAATTCTAGTTGCCGTTGTTCTGTTGTAACTCTACTTGCCGTTGTTCTGTTGTAACTCTAGTTGCTGTTGTTCTGTTGTAACTCTAGTTGCTGTTGTTCTGTTGTAACTCTACTTGCCGTTGTTCTGTTGTAACTCTAGTTGCCGTTGTTCTGTTGTAACTCTACTTGCAGTTGTTCTGTTGTAATTCTACTTGCCGTTGTTCTGTTGTAACTCTACTTGCCGTTGTTCTGTTGTAACTCTAGTTGCTGTTGTTCTGTTGTAACTCTAGTTGCCGTTTTTCTATTGTAACTCTAGTTGCCGTTGTTCTGTTGTAACTCTAGTTGCCGTTGTTCTGTTGTAACTCTAGTTGCCGTTGTTCTGTTGTAACTCTAGTTGCCGTTGTTCTGTTGTAACTCTAGTTGCCGTTGTTCTGTTGTAACTCTAGTTGCCGTTGTTCTGTTGTAACTCTAGTTGCCGTTGTTCTGTTGTAACTCTACTTGCCGTTGTTCTGTTGTAACACTACTTGCCGTTGTTCTGTTGTAACTCTAGTTGCCGTTGTTCTGTTGCAACTGTAGCTGCCGTTGTTCTGTTGTAACTCTAATTGCCGTTGTTCTGTTGTAACTCTAGTTTCCGTTGTTCTATTGTAACTCTAGTTGCCGTTGTTCTGCTGTAACTTTAATTTCCGTTGTTCTCTTGTAATTCTAATTTCTGTTGTTCTGTTGTAACTCTAGCTTCCGTTATTCTGTTGTAACTCCTGTTTCCGTTGATCTACTGCAATTCTCGTTTCCGTTGATCTATTGAAATTCTTCCCCGTTGATCTGTGGAAATTATTCCTGATGTGGAAATTATTCCTGTTGATCTGTTGAAATTATTCCCGTTAATCTGTTCAAAATCTTCCCACTGACCTGTTGAAATTCCCGTTGATCTGTTCAAAATCTTTCCACTGACCTGTTGAAATTGTTCCTGTTGGTCTGTTGAAATTCTTCCCGTTGATCTGTTGAATTATTCCTGTTGATGTGGAAATTATTCCTGTTGATCTGTTGAAATTATTCCTGTTGATCTATTGAAATTATTCCTGTTGATCTGTTGAAAATATTCCTGTTGGTCTGTTGAAATTATTCCTGTTGATCTGTTGAAATTATTCCTGTTGATCTGTTGAAAATATTCCTGTTGGTCTGTTGAAATTATACCTGTTGATCTATGGATGATAGTGGCTAGTTTATTGTGTATCTCATATCCATCCTGTGGATGGTAGTGGCTAGTTTATTGTGTACCTCATATCCATCCTGTGGATGGTAGTGGCTAGTTTATTGTGTACCTCATATCCATCCTGTGGATGGTAGTGGCTAGTTTATTGTGTACCTCATATCCATCCTGTGGATGGTAGTGGCTAGTTTATTGTGTACCTCATATCCATCCTGTGGATGGTAGTGGCTAGTTTATTGTGTACCTCATATCCATCCTATGGATGGTAGTGGCTAGTTTATTGTGTACCTCATATCCATCCTGTGGATGGTAGTGGCTAGTTTATTGTGTACCTCATATCCATCCTGTGGATTGTAGTGGCTAGTTTATTGTGTACCTCATATCCATCCTGTGGATGGTAGTGGCTAGTTTATTGTGTACCTCATATCCATCCTGTGGATGGTAGTGGCTAGTTTATTGTGTACCTCATATCCATCCTGTGGATGGTAGTGGCTAGTTTATTGTGTACCTCATATCCATCCTATGGATGGTAGTGGCTAGTTTATTGTGTACCTCATATCCATCCTGTGGATGGTAGTGCTAGTTTATTGTGTACCTCATATCCATCCTGTGGATGGTAGTGGCTAGTTTATTGTGTACCTCATATCCATCCTGTGGATGATAGTGGCTAGTTTATTGTGTACCTCATATCCATCCTGTGGATGGTAGTGGCTAGTTTATTGTGTACCTCATATCCATCCTGTGGATGGTAGTGGCTAGTTTATTGTGTACCTCATATCCATCCTGTGGCTGGTAGTGGCTAGTTTATTGTGTACCTCATATCCATCCTGTGGATGATAGTGGCTAGTTTATTGTGTACCTCATATCCATCCTGTGGATGGTAGTGGCTAGTTTATTGTGTACCTCATATCCATCCTGTGGATGGTAGTGGCTAGTTTATTGTGTACCTCATATCCATCCTGTGGATGGTAGTGGCTAGTTTATTGTGTACCTCATATCCATCCTGTGGATGGTAGTGGCTAGTTTATTGTGTACCTCATATCCATCCTGTGGATGGTAGTGGCTAGTTTGTGTACCTCATATCCATCCTGTGGATGGTAGTGGCTAGTTTATTGTGTACCTTATATCCATCCTGTGGATGGTAGTGGCTAGTTTATTGTGTACCTCATATCCATCCTGTGGATGGTAGTGGCTAGTTTATCGTGTACCTCATATCCATCCTGTGGATGGTAGTGGCTAGTTTATTGTGTACCTCATATCCATCCTATGGATGGTAGTGGCTAGTTTATTGTGTACCTCATATCCATCCTGTGGATGGTAGTGGCTAGTTTATTGTGTACCTCATATCCATCCTATGGATGGTAGTGGCTAGTTTATTGTGTACCTCATATCCATCCTGTGGATGGTAGTGGCTAGTTTATTGTGTACCTCATATCCATCCTGTGGATGGTAGTGGCTAGTTTATTGTGTTCCTCATAGCCATCCTGTGGATGGTAGTGGCTAGTTTATTGTGTACCTCATATCCATCCTGTGGATGATAGTGGCTAGTTTATTGTGTACCTCATATCCATCCTGTGGATGATAGTGGCTAGTTTATTGTGTACCTCATATCCATCCTGTGGATGGTAGTGGCTAGTTTATTGTGTACCTCATATCCATCCTGTGGATGGTAGTGGCTAGTTTATTGTGTACCTCATATCCATCCTGTGGATGGTAGTGGCTAGTTTATTGTGTATCTCATATCCATCCTGTGGATGGTAGTGGCTAGTTTATTGTGTACCTCATATCCATCCTGTGGATGGTAGTGGCTAGTTTATTGTGTACGAAGCTTAGTGTCCCACCTCGGCCGTACGCGACACTATAGTTTCAGTTAATCACTCTGTCTTCGTTATGTGCCTATGGGCGCTAACTACCCTGTAATTAGCGTCGTCAGAGGCCGGTAACTGCCCTATATTTTCGGCTCTAGGGTAGAAGGTAGAGTTCTCGGCTCACAACCCACAAGCCCTGAGTTCGATTTCCGGGTCAGGCGGGAGGTACAGGTCGTGTCTTATCTAGAAGTAAATAGGTACCTGGGTGTTA